CGTAGCGATCCTCTGTGCAGCTCCCACTTTGGGACTGGATGGGGAGAGCACTTGACCTGGACGGAATTGGCACGCCTCCTCCTGTTTAAATCGTGTTTTAGAGACGCATTATGGACATTTTTCAGACATGCTCTATAGTTACACAGTTAGGTCGAAGCTTTCACATCGTCTGGGCTGCGTTTACGCTGTTGCCAGCGGCCACGGCTGCCCCGTTTTAGGCCATCGATGACAGGGGTGGGCAAACATGGCAGACCACGACTGTCGCGGATGCACCACAAGAACCAAAACTTCGCCACCAATATCACCGTGTGGATACGAAACCTAGTTGGTCAGAGTAAACTGGACTGCAACCTGATACCCATGTACAGTATATAGACCCCAATATATAACTCCACATACTGTATATGAATATTAAAAAAATGAAAGTGTGAGATGAGTAAATGTGGACAAACTGGTGGAAATGGAAGGGTTAGGGTAGGTACCTGTGGAAAAGGACTTTGAGGGGGGTGACGTGCTCAGATGGGAAGGAATTGCGGTGTTCCCGAATGCATCGAAGTTGGCAAAGTTGCTGTCTGGGTTACCCTGAGTTGCTGCTGCCAACCACAAAGGGGAAATGGGATGAGGAATGAAAGAGTCATGGGATGGAATGATGACGGGGTGTACGGGTTTTTTTGTTTGTTTTGTTTACCTGATTGGCTTGGAAAATGTGCAAAGTTGGCAAAGTTGGTGGTGGGGACCGCTTGGGCAGGTGGGGCAGCAAAGATGTCACCACCCAAGTCCGACAACAAGTCAAACTTTTTCTCTTGGGCTGTGATGTGAGCCTGGGAGCGCCCCAACCCCGGGGACTGGGCATAAGGTACAAACGGTCAAAAGTAAATTTTCCCCCTCCAAAATCATATTTCGAAAGAGGTTGAAGGGCGGGTTTCAGTGCGCATTTGCTTACTTGACGAAGGGGGGTCTTGTTGAGCTGTAAAGTCTTGAGAGGCTGCACTTCCGGGGTGCTGCCAGTGCTGCTGGCGGAGGAGCCAGACACAGACGCCTGGACACTTACGACTGACCTTGCCTGGTCTGGAGGCACATACCTTCAGATTCAGGGAGATTTAAAAATAAAAATAAGATTTAGAAGTTTCGTTCTCATGAGTGAAAGCGAACACTGGAGTTTAAATGTCAAAAAATCTTTGGATTCGAGCAGCTGCCTTCTCTGCTGACCTAAACGCTGAGCTAGATTTACAACCTGAATTCTGAAAATTGTTGTATGTAATTGTCATCATTAATTTCTAACAGTCTCTCCTCTTCATTTTGTAGCATTTATTTTGGCCGCTCTGCTTCCAGGATGTGATACCATCTCCCCAAGACCTTCAGAATCAGTTGAGCTGGCTCATGTGATTTCAACTATATGAGCAATGGGACTTGTTGCTCGTTGCTATCTCCCGTGAGTAGCACTGTATTGTGTTTTTGCACAGTCTTGAGAGTTTCTATCACCGCAGCGAATTTAAGAGATGGATTAAGCCGAATAAAACTCCACTGAAGGCCTAGGTACTCGATGCAAAAATGAAGAACAAATGTGCATCATTTCTACTTAACGGCGTCAATATAACAGTATAATAATGGCTGCAAACAACCAAATCACAGTTTCATGTGAGAATACGTTTAAAAAAAATTCGGGATACCATCTTTTCTTTTCATATTTTTCCTGGAGGAACTCTTTCACTTTCTGTGGCTCCCGGAAATCTGGAACAACTGACGTCCTGTCATCATAGAGGCCCAACCAGATGTGTTTACAAACCTATAGCGGGGTGGAGGGGGATTTAGAGGAATGAAGAGGGAGGGGGCGGGGGGGTAGGGGGTGTTTGGTGGGGGTGACCGAGAGAGAGGTGAGACAAAGTAGCAGGGAAGAGGAGGGGATGACAAAAAATGGGAGGGACCGAGGGGGGGAGTCAAGAGAAGGAATTCCAATAAAGTTGACAAAGCAGATTTTAAAAAAATGCCAAAACGTGACTTCATAATTAAAGCCAGAGCGTCATGACTATTCAAAGATGCTTGACAATGTTGCGCAAGTGTGCGTGTTACCTCATTGCTGTGTTTCTGTAGGAACTCAATTTCTTGCTGCGTGAAAGTAGTCATAGAAATCGACTTCACTCTGTGTGGGGGGTTCAGCCCTCGCCTGTGGAGGGGGGGGATTTGGTTAGCTAAAATATATGAGAGGCCAGATGCAACCCAAGGGCGCGTGTGTGTATTGGTGTGTGCCTGTGTGTGCGCCCGCGTGACAGCAGCAAAGACGAAAAATACCGCGGTGTGCATTGACTGCATTCCTTGAATTCAAACCAAAGCTGAATGATCACGAGTAAATCACTCGGAAAGCTTCATGTGTGGAGCGTCCATAAAACCAAATTTGAAATGTTATTTGTCCTCACGCTCGGGTTAAAACGCACAAGCCATTATCATGACTAGAATGTGACACTGATACGTCGAACATTGAACAGATAAACCAGAAAAATAAACCTAACCCCCACAAAACAAAATTGCAATCCAAGATTTGCATTTTGAAGACTTGGACAAGCCGCCTGACTACCGCAAGAGACATGACGGTGAAGATGGTGACATTCATTTGAAACTACCTGGGGTGGGTCAATTTTCTCACAACTGTAGAACAGAGAAAAGGACATCGGTGATGTATTCAAGCAAGCATAGAGCAGCGTATATACCAAACAAAGACAGGATGTAAAGAAAATTCCAACAGAGGACTCAGACGAGTCAGCAGAATTTTTATTGTTGGGAAAGGGTCGTCCACTGACCGCACTGTACTCAACGGCATATGCCACCAATGAATTAAGTTCTTCTCCAATGAAATCCACCATTAGCAGGGAGAGCTTAAGAAGAAAAGTGAGAGGCCACGACTGCCGTGGATGCGTTGCGAGATGTCTACACTGTAAAAATATTTGCCAGTTACAGTGTGGAGGTGTAACCTCATCCGCTGTAGTAAAACGCAGCGCGGACCGCTACAGCCGACAGTATGTAACGGGGCGTATCAAAACATGGACGCGGTCTGCGGTGTGACGGGAAGCATATATTTCCCGGCATCTCGCGTTCAACGCCTACAACTCGAAAATGTTTCATTTACTGACAAAGCTCCCCGTGGCATTTGTAACAGCTAATGTTGAATATGTGTATGCGTGTGAAAGAGAGACCAGAAAGTGTGCGAGAGAGAAAGCGAGAGCATTTTTTGGCAATGCTGGATGGATTGCTGAAGGAGTTGCTGAACAAAAACGAATACCATAAACCGTCTCTCCCACACAAAGCTTGCTAAAAAGCTGTTGGGGAGACTTGAGGCTGCGGAGAGTTCCCAGGAGACTGGTGGAGGAGTAGTAAAGTCCTGGTAGGGGGAAAAAAAAATTGCCTTCGGGAAGGGATTTAAAAACAACACTGGTGGTACTGTACTAGAGAGGTGAGGTCGGAATCCACGCTGAGCAAAAATTGTGGAAGGATGTGAGAATGCTAGTAAGCGCAACTTTGCAGTTCCCTTTTTGCCTCATTGAATGAGGAAAAGGATTTGTAAAAACATTTATGTAAGGTAGTCTGCCATCTATGACAGAACGAGGGTTATTTCCCCAAATGTTTGGGGGGTTTTTGGGGTGTGTGTGAGAAATGGCCCACTTTCAACAATTTTTCACTTGTATTCCAAACATTTGAAAACAAATATGTGTACTTTTCTAATCAAAATAACTCACAGTAAAGAAAAGAAACTCATTTATACATTTGTATGAAAACAGATTTTTTTGTCTGTACTTTTCTTTGACTACAAGAGTTCAATCGGTATTTGTATTTTGACCGTTTTCTACAAAAATATCTATACAGAACTTCGACTAAGGACATCTTGAGTGTCTTTGCCACCTCTATGTGATGGACAATAAAAATGTTTTTTACTAGAGTACACTTCAGAGTCTCAGCTTTTTTTAACTTCTACTTTTTATACTACATAAACGGCAGAAGAAATTGTTTTTACTTTTACATTTGAGTGTCTTCGCTATTTTACTTTAAGACAAAAATGTAATTGGTGCTAAGTACGGAGTCGGAGTGCTTTCGCCACCTCTGTCAACGACTTCGTCCCTTACCGGGACACATACAAACAACACCCACGAGATCATGTTCCACTAATCCACTTCGACATTTTTTTTCAGATTAAATGTCCCTTTAAACACTCCAGTCCAAGATTCATTTCAATTTCTACGTAGCCGGCCACACGACCACGGCCTGGGACTGAACGCGTCTCGACTTGACTGGAACGCTAGCATACGTGCTAACGGAACCGCCAAGTCAGCCACCAGCGGTGCTCCCCGGCTTTCCCCTTCTCCTCCCGGCAAACGCCTCGAACTCACCGGGTGGACGGCAAAAATGAGAATCGGACTTACAAGATGCCGGAGCAGGTGGTGCAGACGAAGGAGCCCACTGTCATGTTGACATAGGTCGGGCCGCGCTGATCACAGTCGAAGCATTTCCTATTCGCGGGAAGGCTAGTCATTTCCCGGAGCATCTTTAAATGAGTCTCCTCTTGCTTTCGCTTTGCGCTGGTCGCCATGGTGGAATATACAGGTGGCCGCGTTGGACGGCAGCGGCCGGGCAGACAGGCAATCGGGCGGGGAGGAAGGGAGAGAGACGGGCAGGCGGCAAGCAGGCACCTTACTGAGAGCTAGGAAGGGCGACTGACAAATTTCTTCTTCTGCGGGAAAATAAGTTCATCAAGCGACCGGCTTTACCAGTCAAAGCGCCACCCGCAGGACAGAATTATATCACAATGTCAAGTTCGAAAAGAACAACGATGGGACGCTTGAACGTGCAGTTTTTTGACTAAACAAACAGACAAATATACAGACAAACTGCGATCTTTTTTTATTGTACAACTTTGTCTTTATTAAAATAGTAAACACCAAGTTGTAGTGCCAACGTCATTGAAATTGGGTTTGTACTTGTGCTTTAAAAAAAGGGAATTCAGTGAAATTGGATCATTTCCCCGCAGCACATGTAATTATTTATTTCACGGTACATGAGTGAATGCGAACCACGTTACTCTAACGCATACACCAATACCAACGAAGAAATTGCTTGAACACTGTTTTAATTTGACTGCCAGTAGTTAAACAATGTCTGTAGTCCAACTAGATGAGTGTTTTGAAAAAAAAAATGTTGTTGACACAGATTATAACAGCTTCATTGAACTCTTTTGGGGAACAAAAATAAAATAAAATAAATCCACCAACATAATTCAAGTCTGTGGTCTGCGCCTTGGCACACATTAGACAACAGGTGCTAGTTGAATACCTTGAGATGAGACATCCCCTGTTTCTTTTGGCCTTGGCAACTCTGACAGCGATCACACTGGCCTCTTTCATAGTGAGCCACTACTTGCTCTGCCCTTCTTGATGGCGAGATGATGCTGGACTTCAAAATGTACACTCTGAGGCATTTTGCCACTCAGGCAAGAAAACCAGTCCCATATTAAACAAAACCGCTCAACAATGAACTATTATTTTCGACCTACATAATCAAGAACCACTAAAAAAAAATAATAATAAATAATATTTTGTTATGTTGGAAAAATGTGAGTTTCACATTGGAAATGAGGCACAACCTTTTGTTTGGATAAAAAAAAAAAACAACAACAACAACAAAATGGGTTTGACATAATTGTGAGAGTTCTGCAAAGGCAGACAGATGTCCAAACAAGTCCCATCCACATTGGATGGCTTCATTTCAGTTTTGGTTTCTTTCTCTTGCTGTTTCCACTTTCTGCAGCTTCCACAGGCTGGAGGAGGAAAGAGCGAAGAATTGTAGGGGCAGACATATTCAGACACATTTGTTCAATTTCAACTACATTGCTGTCTGCTTCTAATCTATGGTAGAAGTTACACTACTTTTTTGTCATTTAGATCTACTCTATTCACGGAAAGAATCGCTTTATACAATATTGGAGATGGCTTTGGCCTGAGCACGACAGTTTTTCGTAGGTTGACATTTGCAACGGACTTTACCATCTAAATATTTTTTTAAGTAAAACTGGTATGAATGGTCTCTTCAATCCTATATTTTCCCTGCTCTCAGATTTCTGAAATGTAGCTTTTTGTTATTCATTCAATGATACATTTAAATAAGCGATAAAGTGATCTGGATGTTCACCTGCTTCCTCTTTCGAAGAACTCTGAAAAAGTCATCCATCCGAGTTTGCCTCCCTTGTCCCGCTGCCGTCGCCTCCTCCCTCTGCTTTCTCGTACTCTCGCGTATCTGTCGGAATCTCTCCATGCGCCGACGGACTCGTTCTTCTCTAAGAACACAAACGCAGCCATCGAGTGACAATTCTTGAAAAGGGGAGAAAATTGTGTACAAAATACCACGGCAGGTACAGGTACATACTTGACATGTGTGCACTTGCAGAAAAACCCAACCAAGGCTTCTTCGTCCGGCTCAGTCCACATCAACTCGGGTACTTCTGCGTGTGGCGTTTCCACAAATAACTTCCGCGCGTCTTCGTATTTCCAATTATCTGGAACCGGATGGGTCTGTGGTGCATTGCAGGATCAAAATGTTCGAAATAACTCACGGGAGAGGGGGGGAGGGTGGTGGTTGATGAGGTCGCACCTTTCTGTTGATGTGCAAAACGACATTTTCAATAGTGCGGTACTTTTGGATGAGTCTCAGAGCTCTCTTTGGACCTAAACCAGCTATCTTGTCACAGTAGTCGCATCCCAGCAAGATGCACAGGTCAACAAACTAGGAAAGCAAAAGAAGCGATGAATCATAAGCAGGGCACGGAAAGCTGTGGTTCTCCTTGCCAACATGTAAAAGCATGAGGTGACTTGAATTGCACCATTTCTTTTCACTTCATTCAATCGGTGGCGTATCTTTTTGTACGCAACATCAAGCAAAATAATAACCATCATCATTTCAAATATTTATGAAGTGGCCGCTTTTAATTTGAAAAACTCCTAAAATGGGGCGATCACAAGTGAAGGTACCAGTGTAATCCCTTACCTCTTTGTGAGTTAGTTGGAGCTTCTCCAACAACTTCGGTAAAGAATATTCCACAATATCACTGTAAAAAAAACAAACAAACTGATAAGTACACTTTATGATATGCAAGCCATTGTGTCGTTACTGTTTCCACTTTATTTCATTGGGATCCCTCCAGGGACAAAAGTACGGTAGCCAGACATACTGCTCAATTTTGTGTAAGTGACACAACAAAGAACGGCGAATATCTTTTTTAGGTTTAGTCCAAAAATGTCCGTGACTTTCATGAAAACTGCAGAGAGAGTTGCTAACAGCGAATGGAATTTTCCTTTAAAAAGCAGCGCGTCTGTCCCCTCTGTACCTGTCTCTCTTAGCATTCAGTTGACGAATCAGAACATGCGCTCCAAACGGCAATGTGTCCATGTCCTCCGATGCCACAGATTCCGCAGCCCCCTGTCGCACCAGCCAAGCGCAAAAAGCCTCAGCATCTCCCGGAGCCTGCAACGAGCCAACAAGTAAGGGACAAGATGCTTTACGTGACAGAGTCAAGAGAAAAAATAAAAATACAACAGAATGATGATGTTCATACTTGGACCACAGGCACACCCAGAAGCTTCAGGAGATGGACACAGTCTTTTGTTTGGGGTGATGCTGGATGGAGGACAAACATGTCGCTTGAGAAGATAAACATATAAAGTATAAGAGCATATTCCAGTGGCACGCCATGCATTTGGTACCCCGGCCTTCAGTGAGATCATTATTGTGATCAACGTCAATGCTGACGTCATCTGTAATTTGATTGGTGAACGAAACACCCTCATTGCTAATGTAGATCAAATTTCATGAGCCTATACTACAGATTCTCGAGCCCATGGGCAGATTAGTTTGATATGGTAACACATAGACGCTGAAATCTGATTGGACGAAAAACATGGAACATCCACATGCACGTACTGGAAGCAGTGAAGCAAAGAGCAACGCTAAGAAATGAAGAGAACAGAGTATTGGGAATGAATCAATACAATTCCATGGAACAAATATTAGAATTTAGGTTGGAAATGTAGGTCAAGTGGTACTCGGTACTCAGGTTCTCGGAAAGCTGTGTTTTTGTACCTGTGCCCAAATGGTTGGGGGAGCGCCAACCCGCTGCCTCGGCTCGTTTCTGAAGCTGTAGGAAAAAAAAGCTTTCACACTGCAGGACCTTGCATACACACCGTGTCTCTTCGGCACGTTAAATATTTTTGTTTGATTTTTATGTTATAATTGTTATGAGAAAATTTGAAATCACAATTAACGTCCCAATAATTGTTGATCAGTTACTTGAATGACACACAACTGCGTAACTTACAATAGCGAGCTTTTCTCCTGGAGGCCTTCCATCAAACACAAACACAGGCTTTATCTCGTGTTCCAGGAAGGTCAGCGTGCGAAAGAACAGACCGGTCAGCGGACTGCAGACAGAACAGACATAAAGCACGCTTTGCCATGTACTGTATTGCATTGCATTAAATAAAACTGCATCGAGAGCACATTCCATCAGATTGTTCTTCCACAGTGTGCAAGATATTCTGTCTTCAAGGAACGTACTTGAGTGATGGTGCTGCTGTACGGAACTGGTTCATCACAATTGATGTATCCAATGCAATTATCTTGCCTGTGGAGTAAGCAGAAACTAAACGGAGTTAATTGATTACTAAACTCTTACTGCTACTATATAGGGAACTATTTTGGAGTGCAGATATTGACAACTAATGAGCACACAATCACATTGATGGCATTGGACATATTTCTAAAATACAGTACTGTATTAACTCTTGCATGCCCTTTTCTAAACTTTCGAATGTCCAGCTGTTCACGTTTGAAGTACTTTTCGCAAAATTCATGACTGCTGTGCGAACCATTAAAATTTCAATGGAAGGCCACTTCTACGACTTGTTTTTCTTTTTCCAGTCTCGCTGCATCTCTGGTGCAATCGATAAATCGAGAGAACTACTGTTGATCACTTATGTGTCATCTTGGTCTAGTGATGTCAAAACTGAACAGTACGAAGGACTGTTTACATTCCGATTCTCGTCGAAACAGCGAAGGGTCGTAGTCCAATCGTGGCTAGAAACATACACACGGACAAAATTGCTGGTACATATCTGTTAATGAAAGAAAAACCCATAGTGGGTGCAGAAATAACTAGAATCTGACAAAAAAATTAATAACAATAATAAATGAAAATTATTCATTGAAAATGAGATACTGCTTTTGAATTGTGGTTTCATAAATGTAATAATTAAATAAAAGTCACGAATCACGACTCTGCAACCTTAACTCAGCGAGGGAAAGTTTCCAAGTTAGCTCGTGGCTAACAACAATGATGAAAGAGTACCGAAAAAAAAAACGACACAGGGCGATCAAAAGTGGGCCGTGAGTGTTTACCTGTATAGTCACTGATATCTTTGTGGGAAATCGCACCGGGAGCTTCCAATCGAATCAAATCTGCCAGTTTAATAATCCCCATCCTGGCACCATCCCACCGCACCCTAACTAACCAATTTGCGATGTGACGTCACTTCTGGTAATGCCAGGAAAACTGTTTTTTTTAATTTAGTACATCATTTTATTTATGCGATATATATTTTTTGTATTCGCCGAAAGTCAGTGAATGCACGCGTTCTCTTTTTAAGACGAAGATCCGTTCCTCCGGCAGCGACCTGACCCGATTGTTTACGAAAATCGTATTGCGTTGTAGTCGATCACTAACGCAATAGTAAAATGATATTAGAAGAATGATATTTGTATTCGTGCTGTGCATAATCTTGAAATGCCGCCGTAGTAAAGTGAGGATTTTGCCCGGTACCCAGGAAGCTCAGGACTCTCCTCTCCGTAATGCTCATTTTGAACAGTAGGGAGCAACATTGCACAAAAACAAGTCATGAAGAATTTAATCGAATCTAATAAATCTTGACTTGTGTTGCTCTTTCACAACAGCTGCAACAAAGCGCTTTACGGAACATTTAACAACAACAAGAATACACATAAATGGTAATTACAGCCATTTATTAAAGCAACAACAATTTACCAACAACGAATGTATTGGGATTTTACAAAAATAAACATGTTGGACACATAGTTTTTTTAAATTATATATATATATATATAAATATATATATACACATACTCAATCTATATTAATGGATCTGCAACAATAAATACAGGCTTAAATATTTTACATCCACATTTTACAAAAACATCTCTAGATCACTCTTACAGAAGCAACAGCTCTATGACGACTGTAAAGAGAAAAAAAAAGGGGAAAATACAAGGTCAATGTTTGGAAAGCAAGTTCCAACAATTCAAGGTGTCTCAAACCTCTGAAGAGAATATTTGACATCACACCCACTAACAAGTCATGTAAATACCAAAAAGTTAAAAGGGAAAAAAATAAATAAGACAAAAAAAAAAAAAACACCAGCAGTACTTCAACAACGCACTATTTTTTTACTGTACATAGATGTTTGTTAAAACACAACGAACATTCAGCATGACTCTTATGGCATCCTTATTTTATTCAATTTTTTTTCCTTTACACTTTGACACTTGCGAGTATTTATTTACTGTAGCTCCACTTCTGGACCAGGTTCCCAAAGCATTTCTTGCCAAAGTAAAATCTCATTTTGTTTCCAATTTATGGTCATGATTAGATTAAAAAGAAATAGACAGGCGTGAAATCCAGTATTTGACTGAACAGTGTATATGACTCGCAAAGAAAAACTATCTCATGTCCAATAAACCTACTGCACATAAGTATCACTGGGCAAAAGAGATCCAAATATTTCTACTTGGATACATGCAACATAGCCACTCTTCCCGCCCTTGAAAAATAATATTAACTAGAAAACGCAAAGGAAAAGCAGCACAGGTGTTTGTACAGGATGTAGTATGTACATTTTGAAATCTGAATTTCAATCATTTCCCATAAAAGCGTGGGAGGGAATTCAGTTGATTCCTATGATTTTGAAAGCGAACCCCGATGTTGTCAGTAACAAGACAATGCTTTGGCTCCATGTGTTTTGGGTGGTCCTCTCTTTTTAATTTAGCGGCGGAACCAAACCCAGGTGTTGATAAGCCAGAACGCAACGGTCGCAGAATACAGGAGCACCTCTCGCTTGGAGCGTTCCTTGTTTTCTTCCTCCAGCATTTGCAGACGGCGGTTAAGCTTCACAATCTGAAAAGATCACACAAATGGAAATTGGCTTTATGACTGCGATGCACCTACAAAAGGCCTGGATCCTGGAAAATTGTTTTTGTTCCCCCTGTCAAGGATCCAGTGCATTTTCAATTCATCCTGAAAATTCACAAACTTAATCTGATGAACTTTTTGTGAGTTGCGTGTATGCGGGACATGACATGTATGCGAGGAAAATTGAACATACCTGTCGGCGTAACGAGGAGGCGTCCACTAAACCGGACTCGTCTGGATTCATTTCCAAGGCAAGGTCGAGGTGTGTCCTGCGCGATGACAACAAGCCACAAAAGAAGGAGCAGCAAAATATCCATTGAGTAAAAACACGATACAATTTTTTTTTGGGAGGGGGGCCAGGGGGACTGGTGCTTCATTCATTTCACTAAAGAAAGCTGTTTTGACATGAATGTTTTAAGTACGAGCATGATCTGAGAATGAATTCAACTCGTGTCTCAAGGAACCACTCGAACAGATATCCGCCAATGCGACTACAGTGTAAAAACACAGTTCGGATGCACGCAGCCAACGAGAGCTTGACATTGACATCAACGTTTTGCATCTGCACAGACACAAAAATGTATAAAAAAAAAAAAAAACTGGTCAAAAATCGAAACTACAGGGCAGCAAAAGAACAGGATCAGATAGCGTACTGGGAGACTCCAGCTTACCTGACTCTTCTGAGGACAAGTATAAAAAAATGGATAGATATAGGAATACATTTTTAGGAATGAATTGAAGGCCAAACGGCAGGAAACAAACAACAAAAAAAGTCACCGGCGGTGGCTGTCGTCCAGGAATTCAAGGACCTGTTGGTAGGCCCGGCGTGTGGTGGACTGGATGTAAGTCATGAAGCCGGCCGCTGTGAACAAGTTGATGTTTGCATCCTCGGGGGAGCACAGAGGGGGGCACATGCGGACTGGGGGGGCAGAAGGCGAGGGTGTTACACTGCCAGAGAGTAAGTGGAGAGAAACAGTAAAGAGGCGGGGAGATTTTCGACGTCATTAAGAGAATAAGAAACAGAAAACGGCCGAAGCAGTGTCGAAAAGAATGTCCTCACCTTACGTCACCTCTGATAATCTGACTGCTATGGCGACCAGATATGAATTCACTGGCACTGCGTTCCCTTCGTGATCGAGAATGAGCCTGTCAATGATACACAATCACGTGTTTCCCAACTTTTAGGGAGGCAAGGCACAAAAACGAGGTTAGGGTTGCATTGTGTAATGATACTTACAGAAAACAAGAAAAGCGCAATGCAAGTGGCAGCCCATTTACCATTGAGATTTGACTTACCGAGTGACTGCTGGGGTTGCTCTTGCTCATTTGGTGAGTTTCCAGCGAGTCCAGCGGCTGTTCTGACAGCGTGAGGACACGCGGTGGTGCCTTCATGTCCAGGAGCTCCACAGCAGGGATGGACTGAATCAGGTCCAAGTCTCTGGGACAAGAGAACTGTGGATCCCCATCACCGGCTGTGCAGCAGATGGCAAAAAAAAAGGGAGTCCGGAAATGAAGAGTCACTCAGTTTACAGTATTGCCGGCAGGTTGCAACAGAGATACTGGAAGAGTCACAGAAAGCTATCATGTAAATCAGGTGCCACCTCACCTGCTACGACAATTCTTTCAGGAACCTGCATCAGAGTTGAATGAGTGTGCAGGATTTCCTGCGGTGGCAGAGAACCGGTTTGGTTTTCCGAGGTCACCTTGAGGGTCTCCGGGATTCGCATGCGCTGGCTGATGCCCTCCGTGTACTCCAACTCATAGTGCATACGGTTCATCTCCGCCACCTCGGCAGGAGGTGAGGTGAACGATGGCCCACTCATGCAACCTGCGGAGGAAAATGGAAATACACATTTGTACTTATATTGTACGTACACAAATTAAGACACACAGAATGGGGGGTGCTGTGTATCGTACAAAGAAAGTGAGTGGGGTCAATGGCGATCACAAAGATAACTTCATGCTCGGCTAGTGTTTTTTCTTGAACATGGCTGTCCCCAACCTTTCCCCCCCTCCCCCCACAAAAATTGAGCACTAGAAGTGCCAGTGTAACGGCAGAGCAATCAAAGAAATCATCTGGTGAATTACTGCTTGTGTAAGGTTGGCCAAAGTGTCCAATTGGATTGGTGCACGTCTGAATAAATTCATATTATTTGGGCTGAGTCTCATTCTGCAGATATGATGAGCAGGATTCATTCGTTACTATTTTTACAGATTAACAACAGAGATACAAACAATATCATGAGCACTAGAGCTCAGCCCAATCAACCAAATGTCAAGAAAATAGATATTAAGCATGAGGGACGATTTAAAGATCATTCACGTTTTTCTGCATCAAATTACATAACACTAAAACGGGGGATAAACTGCTGACACAATGACCTCGACGTCTGAGAACGGATTTAAACGTCAACCAATCAAAAGTGTACATATGAAGGTTATTTGTGACTGTTGGCTGTTCACACACACACACACACACACACACACACACACACATGATGTTATGTTTCCCCATACGTCAAGTTAAGGCAAGCGGTACGTATAACGACCGTTTTTTGGGCGACATGCTGTGGAGGCGGATCCAAAACGTTGGCTTTATGAGCCTCTTGACTCGACCTAAAGCACAACGACGACGTACCTTTTGTAGATGATGCGGGAGTTTTAAATACTCATTGGTCGAAATGTTAAGCGGCTCGTTTCGAAAAGCTAAGAAGCGTATGAGCGTAACCCGGAATAGAAAGCAACTGAAACGAACGCCCTTTTTAAATGGTCGTGCGGTTGTGCTTGATTTTGTTACACGCGCTGCGCGGCGGGGCGGACCTGGTGGCAGGAATCAAATTCACTACACTATTATTTACGATAAAAATGATAGTAAAACACAAAATACAGTGTCTGATATTCATATTCTTAGGCAGCACTGATTGCATGTCGTTTTTTATGTTCACCCGGAACTTGACACGGACCGGACGCGCGTCAAAAGTTGCATTCTTTTGCATCATATCTGACTGTCTCTTTAATAAACCGCTCTCGAACAACTCTAATTGACACACGGGGATAAATAAAGTTTTCTGAATCTGAATCTGAATATTGTCTCTCAAACTTTGTGATTGACCGCTTTGTTAGTTTTTGGTTTTAGTTCAGTGTCCCCCTTTTGGGTTCCTTGGCTACCCATTACTATGTTACAGAATTAATTTTATGACCACCTTGTCTCTTTTTGACAGATGAGACTGACAGACGTTTCTTTGCACTGAAAGAAACAAAAACAAAAACATCGTTTGTCCACTTTGGGTTAAATACCCCGCATTCTATTTTTCTCTTACCGAACCTTTTTGCCATGATCCCGTTCTATGAGAGAGGGGCCGGTTTCGGATTTTTTTTTTCTGGCGTTGCCAGATAACGGCACAGAAAGATGCACCAAATGTCACCTTATTGTATCTGTGTTTATGAAATAGTTACTAATTAATAATGAAAACGGTTCAGAACTAAGGAACATTTTACTGCAAAAGCCCAACTTTATGATCAAAGACAAATCCACATCGATGAAAAATAAATCAAAATACTCTGTGGTATTTTCAGGGGGCCGGACCAAATGCGGAGGCGGGCCGGATCCGGCCCGCGGGCCGTAGTTTGGGGACCACTGGTGTAAAGTATAAATGCAATATTATTCTCATAAAATTATGACTTTTTACCACGCCAAAGTGAATCTTTTTTTCTCGAAAAAAACGGACGTTTTTATGAAAAAAAACAAAACAAAACAGATTATGAGAAAATGACATTTTTTTTGTCTGAAAAAGGGGGAATTTGTTATCGTATCATTATAAATGTAGTTGGAAATTGGGTGTTTTTAAATTACTCTGGCATTTAAGGGTATACCTGGTAGTTATTTTAAATTATTTAATTATGAAGGAGTCATTGGAAAAATCTCCCCCTTATAAGGAGGAAGGGGTAAACTGAGTCAATTAGGAGTTCCTTCTTATATAGAATTTACATTACAATCGCCTACAATTCCCACAATTCCCCCGACTTTCGCCACAAACGCGCATGCGTCCTTGCGTCAGAGCCATTATTTTGTCCTCAAGCTGTTGAACAACGGGACTTCGTGAAATGAATTAAAAATACCAAACGCGGGAGGGCTAATTTTCTGTTCGCCCACCGCCACGGATATTAATGGAGTGTCTCAGTCGTTAACTCGGCGTGTCGCAGGGCTGTTGGCTCTCCGGGTGGGCTCGGAGGCCCCGAAGACGGTGCTCGGAGTGACAGCCCTGTTAAAAGAAGCAGAAGGCTGCCTCCTCTTTATCTTGTTGGCTAGCCACCTAAGCTAGCTTCCTAGACAGCGCCAAGGGGAGTCGAGGAAAAGAACAAAGTACAAAGGGGGGGAAAAGCGCACCATCTGAAAAGGACACATTGACAACCCCGGAAAGAGTGAAATTCAACCTGGACAAGAGATGGCACACCTACGAGACATGCAAAACCAGGTACTTAAAGCAACATTTATATACCGTAGTATATTCAAACACTGCAAGACGAGGCTTTCATTATTAGGTGGGTGGTCGTGGGATGACGAAACATGCCCAGTATTATTCCATCGTTTCCTGTTGAGCAAAGGCACATTTTACACTCGAAAATATCTCACTGCACACCACCCAAAACAAATATCACAAAAAGTGGATACACAGGTCAATTGTATCTTCTGCCACCTAGTGGAAGAGCATTTTATTGTTCTGTCTGTCTCTATAAATCGCTGGCACAGATAGATTAACAAAGGTGTGTTATTTGTCCTAAATAAATTATAATACTCAGACCATTTTTTTAATGCTGTTGCACAGATGATGTAAATCAGACCTCTTTAGTTTTGCATTAACACTCAAATGCGTTAGTGCTTCTCAGCAAGAGACGCCCATAGTGACTTTTATTAACCCAGTTGCCACGGTATTCGACCTGTGCGATTAACCTTGCGCACACATACGGGTTAAACGGACATGTAAAATGGAATTTGTATGATGTCACTGGAGCAGAATTCCCGGTTGGATCCTGAGGAGTACTTCACCAAGCAAGAGCGCATTGGCAAGGGATCCTTTGGGGAGGTCTACAAAGGCATCAACGACCGCACCAAGGAGGTGGTGGCCATTAAAATCATCGACTTAGAGGAGGCGGAGGACGAGATTGAAGACATTCAGCAGGAAATCACAGTACTGAGCCAGTGTGATAGTCCCTTTGTGACCAAGTATTATGGCTCGTACCTCAAGGTGAGATGATCATTCAAAACCGTGTCTCTCCCACGCGAATGCTTTGACACGTCTTGTCTTTGTTTTGCCCAACCAGGGAACCAAGCTGTGGATTATCATGGAGTATTTAGGTGGAGGATCTGCCCTGGATCTGGTAAGGTCACGTCCGATTGTCGCGCAACTTTCACAAATGCAAAAAAAAAAAAAAAAGCAAAAAAAAAAAAAAAAAAAAAAAAACAAAAAAAAAAAAAAAAAAAAAAACAACAACAATCTTATGTATGAGCAAACCTGTTTTACTCCTAAACAGCTGCGTCCAGGACCTCTTGAAGAGACGTACATTGCCACGATATTGCGGGAAATCCTCAAGGGGCTGGAGTATTTGCACTCTGAAAGGAAAATTCACAGAGACATTAAAGGTTAGAAAAAAATGTGTCATACAGTGAAGCCCCATTTATCGCAGGGATACAAAATCCACACACACTTTCTATGGGTGAGAATCCGATTTTCAAACACTTTCTTCTTTCCCTCCTGTGTTAAAACACAATAAAACGTATTGAGACACAATAACTGAATGCATTGCATTTGAACACGGAAAAAAGTACAGTGGTGCCTCGATCTGCTTATAACTATTTCTCTCTGTACTTTCTCCAGCTGCCAACGTGCTGCTGTCCGAGCAGGGCGAAGTGAAGCTGGCCGATTTCGGGGTGGCGGGACAGTTGACTGACACTCAGATTAAGAGGAATACATTTGTGGGCACACCCTTCTGGATGGCGCCCGAGGTCATCAAGCAGTCGGCGTACGACTTCAAGGTGAGGTTGCCGTTGCGAGGGACACATGAACACTGGGTTTTTTTTTCGCCATTGGACCCGTTTCACATAAAGCACATATGGAAACGGCATATAGAGGAAAATTATTGGAAAAAAACTCAACTGTCCATTACCCCAGAATGTAGTTGTAGTTATTAGTGTGAGTCTTGTGCTCGTTTCTTTCCAACGCGCAGGTCCCACCTAACTTTTTATATCTGCTGCGGTGTGTCTTCATTCCTTCTGCACCACTAACTTTGATTCCTTTGTGCCTTTGCGTTTTTGTCAGGCTGACATTTGGTCACTTGGAATCACAGCCATTGAACTGGCCAAAGGCGAACCTCCCAACTCGGATTTACACCCCATGAGGGTCCTCTTCCTTATTCCCAAAAACACTCCCCCCACCTTGGAAGGCGCTTACAGCAAGCCCTTTAAAGAGTTTGTGGAGGCTTGTCTCAATAAAGACCCTCGTTTTGTGAGTAACATTTTTTTTTTTAAATTGATGCACTTGAATGTTTTTTTTCTAACCAACCAAGGCGTCAGATGCCAGTTTTACTCTAAATGAGATCTCAGTGTTAAGGCGTAATTCCAGATGGTTGGTCGGTGATCACATTTTCAGATTCGTGCACAGGCTTCGCGTTCATTATGATTCACTACAAAATTTTGAAGTCACTTTGAGAGTTCTCAGCGGGCAGGTTCCATTCGTGGTGGCTCCGGTGTCATTTTCAGAGGTGAATAGAGAAGCCGAAAAATGTACTCAAGTAAGAGGTCTGTTACTCTGAAACAATATGACTCAAGTAAAAGTAAAAAGTCATCCTCTAAATGATTACTTCACAAAAATTAATCGTCACATAGAAAACTTGCGTGGTCATGTGATTGATTACCTGGCGCTGCAGTCGACTCTGGTTATGCTGGATCGGTGACGTGATCAATTCTCTCCAACAAACGAATACAGAAATATTGTGTAAGCAATAATCGAGAGTAGTGAGCAGATAGGAGCTCAGTTCCACACGGTTAGCTCACCGCGGTTTGTTTATTTTTAGTCTTGCCTGTGTGTTGGCCTTGTGTCTGCCTTAGCGGCCGACAGCCAAAGAGCTGCTGAAGCACAAGTTCATCACGCGTTACACCAAGAAGACGGCCTACCTGACTGAACTGATCGACCGCTACCGCCGCTGGAAATCCGAGGGTCACGGGGAGGAGTCCAGCTCGGACGACTCTGATATGTGAGTCTTTGCTGCGCGCTAAGGTGCGCTCTAACTTAGCCCACTGATTAGACACACAATAATTAGCCCGCGTCAGCCTCGGGGCTGTGGACAGAGTTCTTAACAAAATCAGTTAATAGGGGCATTTTGTGGGTTTTTTTTTTTTTTTTTTTAAGTTTATTAGTTTTCAGTAAGTTGTTATTTTCATTTGTTTCTGTAGGGACGCTGATGGTGATGTGGATTCGTGCCCCATGTGGACCTTCCCCACAGTCAGACCAAACTCTTTGAATAAGTTACAGAAGGGCTACACACATACTGACTCAGAGGCAAGACACATGCATACACACCAATTAAATGTACACAAAATCTGTGTTGAGAAATATATATATTTTTTTCCTTGATTGACATTCATCTCTTTCCAGTCAGGAGATTCTGTGAAAAGGCAACCCAAGTCGCAGTGCTTGTCAGCCTTGGTCACGCCCATTTTCAGAGAGGTACGTCATCGCAGGGCTCATGACTTTCTGGGACCCGTATCGGGGAGAATTTTAACAAGTGAATTTCAAGTCTGAGCTGGTCTGATCACCATGAATTTATAGTCTCACGGGCAGAAGATCAAATTGGTGAGCATCTCCCGGGAGAGACTGAAGCACAATGAGTGAAATATGGGCTTTTATATTCAAAATTCAAAAAATGAAATTGGGATGACCCCTTTACTCTGATTGGGCAACTGTAACCTCAAATGATGGTATCACCACACCTGAGATGTCGACTCTTTTGTTTCCCGATCCCATCCACTCACTCCGCCCTCAGCTGAAGGAGAAGCGGCGAGCGAGCGGCGGCGGAGTCGGCGCCATTGAGGAGCTGGAGAACGCCTTCAACCTGGCGGAAGAATCCTGTCCGGGCATCTCCGACCGCCTCGTCACACACATGATGGAGAGAGTGTGCAGGTAGAGCGTCAATATGCGGGATCTCATAAGAACGAACCTCTTGTGTTCTAACATGCCTGCGCTGTCTTCCCTCAGGTTTTCTTTAAACGGAAACACCACACCATCTTCTCGATGAAAACAACATGAATGTTTAACCCTCCCCCAGCCAACAAATCGGACATGGACCTCAGCAGACCCCCCCCCCCCCCCCCCCCCCCCCCACCCCCCCCCCTTCTGCTTTTACAACCTGCCCAGTCCTCATCCCCCCCAAGAGATCTTTTATGTAGTTAATAAATATTTTTACAGTTTTTTTTCTTTGAGAGCGAAGAGTATTTAAGACAAAAAAAAGCCATGGAAGTTAGCACGTTGGGTATACCTGTTAGACTGAAACGTAATAAATTGAATGAAAACACAAATGACTTCTGCTTTTCTAACAGCTACACAAAATCCAAAACACATTTGAGAATAAAACTTTTATTACAACATTGTACATCAAGAACAATATTTGGTGCATTAATAGTGGATAAAAACAGCTCAAAGAGGAATGTTGGAGTTCACAGTTTGGCTGGTGAGGGAAGAATTGGCATGAATGACTGATAGATCACCTTGAACGAGTTAAAGTTTTTGCCTTGAATTTGTCAACTTATTTGGCTCTCACTGGGGCATGATTTCACCGAACAGTACAAATGAAAAGCCTTCACCTAATAAAGGAGTGTCATGAACAATGTCCTTCATTTCTTAAGTTGTAACCGTTTGTCCAACTCAAAACGATTTCGGCCACTCTTTCCATGCCGACTTCACAGAAAAGACAACTTCAAATGTTTGGAGGTAACATAGCATGGATCAGGGGAACAACATCAGTAACAATTCATGGCACACTTTTTTTTTTTTACTTGGGGTAAACAAAGTACTTCTTCACCCTCACAGAAAAAATATTCAGACAATGACAAAGAGTTGTTTCTGGCTCTGTGAAGCTCTTTCAGAGAGAAAATATGAGCACGATTTAAACATTTAGGTACAAACACACGAAGAATTTAGTCACCCTATGTCAAATTTGTCAATGGAAAAAAAAAAAATGAAAGGGTAAGAGATGGTTTTTGTGAAACTTTAGATCCCACTTAAAATTCAACGGTCGTTTGATGATGACTGGCAAATGTGAAGGGGCGGGGGAGTGTAAGAAATAAAACTGTGAGGATATATACTTATTCATTTTAACACTGTTTGAATATACTTTACTATATTTATCAGCAAACCTGATCCCAAGTGGGACTGAATGAACAAGAAGCGCATGGCTGCTGTCCTCAAGCTGTCCTCCTTTGTCTCCCGTCAAAGTCAAGTGATGCCACAAATAACCTTCAATACAAAATTGAAAAACAACCCAAAAATCAACACTTCTGTATGGAGTCCCAACCATGACATGGGTGAGGGGAATTTAACTGCAGCCACAGCATATCGATACAGTAGGCGGGTGAATACTAATTTGTGGCCACAAAATCGCGTGCCGATGACTCACTTGCGGCCACAAAATAAACAAGAGTTGCAAAAGGATCTCACTCACTTCATCTTTTCAAACATCTCCCTCTCCATCACCCTGCTTCTGCATCTGGGCCTGCATCTTGGCGATCATCTCCTGCATTCGTCTCAACTGGAAGACATGCAACATTGTACAGACAAACAAGGGATCATGGAATTGGGGTCCGATCACGTGGTTTTCAACTGATCGCCAACTACGGATTTGCTAATTTTATGCTAACAAAACCGATGGGGAATTTCAGTACGAAAACCTACGACCGAATATAGAACATGTCTGAGATTGACCAATACAGTTTGAGTTGGCACCACCCACCTCCGCCTCCTTCTCTTGCAAAATCATATCCTTGTCCATTTCCTCCGGTTCGGGACCCTTTCTGCAGCAGTCACACAGTAGGACACAATTACTGAAATGCTTCTTGGTTTCTTTTCTTCTATTGTGTAACTACTCACAAATCGATAGCATTATTCGGCTTCTGGGTGAAATCTCAGGAAGAACCTCAAATCGAACTTTTAAATTTTAACTTTGCTAAACTTTTCTTGCGTGGCTAAAATGTTCAAAGTTTCAGTAATTCAGTCGAGAGTCTACATGCTCTGTTCAAACGCTGGGTCGAAGCTATTGAAGGGGCGGGGGAACTATAATTTTACTTCCACACACAAAAACGATTTTTCAACCAGGTTGTGCAGGTTACAACTCACAGTAATGGTCGAAAAAGTTTTGAAATGATTTATGTTGGTCTCATTTTCAATATCGCGAAAACCTGGCATTTGAACAGCGGGTGGGGGGTTGGGGGGTAAACTTCTTCTGTCCACTGTGACAGCAGTGGCAACTGATCTTAAACTATCAGACATGGGCGGAGTCACCGAAAGACACACAAGTGGACATTCCTTCATTCTGAAATTTCATCCAAAAGCCATTCTTCTTTATTTTGTGATCATGTGAATAAACCAAAAAAAGGGGAAAATAATCCAACAGTGTCAAGTTTTTAGTGGAAGTGATGTGCATTGGTTAGAAATTTTGATACTGTGTGAGATTTATATGGCAGGAGTGCAGCTAATTACGAGGCAAACATGAGAAAAGCCACATTGAGAAAATTGGAAAAAAGCGGGTTAGTCAAGTTGTCTGCGAGAGGAAAGTGAGCGTCTATCTACAAAAAAGATGAAAGCAGTGAGGTTGGAAGAAAGGCAGCGGGAGGTGTGAAAGTCAGGGAGGGGAAACGGCAAGACCTCCCCCACTTGGAAGATAAACTGGACAACAGTACCTCCAATATTCGACTCACGGCATTGGACAAATCAAGAGCAGAAGGCCATCATAGCGCAGATGGCGAAGGCCAGTAAAACCAGTCCTTCATCCTGGATTGGCTTTCAAGCAGAAAGCTGAAAACAACTTTTGGGGGGCTATTTTGAGGAGGAGGATTTGTTAAAAAGGACACCGTGGCAATCCTGCACAAGTTCACTGCAATCAGCGTGCTTTTGACAAAGCAGCAACTAACCACAGACACCGAGGATGGGCAATTTTTTTTTTACCAAACTAGCCATCTATATATGAATACAATTTTAAATGGATTAATCTACTATTTTTATTTTTTGGTAAAATGTTTTGAAATTATTGTCATAAAAGAATCCATTCTCATTTTTATTGATTAGACAATTGTGTCATAAACTACAACTGGAAAAATACTAATGTTTCGTATTTTAAGTAGAATTGCTCATTTATTTATTTTAAAACAATTTGTTTTTTTAATTTGACATGTATTTCATTTAAATTGTAATAAATTACCCAAATACGAGTTAGAACTACAACTGACACTACAGGAAATATCATGAAGGTTAAAAAGTATTTCATACATAAATAGAAACCGACAGTTCTTCAATACTTGCGTCTGTGTGTGGAGCTAAATGTCTTCATTTCGTGGGTGTGTCTTATGATATCGCAATGTAAATATAACTGGGTTTTTTTTCTGAGGCTGGAGGGTAGGTGGGGGGGTGCAGTGAAGCAAGCGGACAGACAGGTCGTACGTACGCAGGGGAAAGAGGCAGAACGTAACCATGGGAGGACAACCTGCCGCTGCGCTTCAGGCGATCCGAGCGGAAGTTCTCGTAGTGCAGGTCCTGGGTCACTTCCTGTAGATCCTGCATGTGGGTTCTGCAGAGTTGGGAAAAATGCTGACATACGGGCACATCTCAACAAATTAGGACGGATTGAAAAACATTTGTGACAGCCTTTTGTGCATCCCCGTTTTTGTTCTCGCAATCGGGCATGTTTTTAAAAAGGATTTGTGAGAGGCAGCCGTGCTCACATCAGCATTGTGCGCAGCTTGAGGAAGTCGTTGTGCTCGGGGTTCTCCACCTCCACCACTCCCCAGGGGTACAGGCGGCCCCGCACCTTCTTCCCCTTGGCCTCAATCTGCTGGTTGGAGCCCACCACCGCAAAAGGGATGCTAGCCTGGGGGAGAGCCGCCACTCGTATCAGGGCACGTGGCGGCTAAAGAACACACTCCCGACGCTCTTGTTTAACACGCTCATCAGGATCATCGCCGAAACCCCGGTTTACCTTGAGGATCCTGGTTTGCTCTTTAAAGTCTTCATCCTCATCCGACTCGGCGTCGGGCAGGTGGTAAATCTTGATACCGTGTTCATCAATTTCATCAAGGATCTGAGCAAAGTCATGCATTAAAGATGAGGATTGAGCGATTTGTCGCAACATTTGAGGACAGGTGCAGTTCCTGGTCCTCAGGTTCAACAAAGTGACTTTTCTGAAAATTGCGGCGATCTGAGCTGTTCTTTAAAAAATAATAAATTGAACAAAATGGGATCACCAGAGTGCTGATTGCTGACCACCGTTAACATGCAGTATACCAATAAAAATCTCATTTCACAACGTACTGCTGAACAGCTGCCGAGCAAGGCAGTTGCTTTTGCATTTTCGGGATTTTGTATTTGCGGCCAAAAAAGGTCTTTTCATGTGAAGATGCTGGTTTTGGTTTTTTTTCTGTTGAAACATTTTATGTGGCCCACTAAAGCAAATACGTCTACTTCATGTTTGTCGATAACACGATTTTCTAGTTTGATTTTGGTCGGGAATCTGTCCCAAAATCTGAATCGTGGATTTTCACATATCGTGGGCTACGGTGAGGAAGGCAACCGCAGAGATGAACAAAAGGATCGCTTAAGCGCCGATCGGTGAGATTCCCGAATACTTAAGCACATGATCGTGGGAACCGGCAAGCGTAACGATGAATAGCGGCGCACTCACTCTGCGCTTGAGCCTCTCTCTCTCTCTGAGGGTGAGCGTGTCCGCCTTGGCGATGACAGGAACCACATTGACCTTATTGTGGATGGCCTTCATGAACTGAACGTCCAGGGGTTTCAAGCTGGGAGGAGCAGGAAACAAGCGGGCGTGTCAACAAAAAGAGGGTGGAATATTTTGCGATGAAAGCTGTTCTGTTAAGCAATGGGGGTAGGAGGGGGGAGACGTTGCCGGCCGG